ATATAACTGTTTTATTTATCTAAAATCTCAGGAAATAATCCTGGACAATGCTACTGCTCTTAAGTGTTTGTCAGGATGTTTATTTGATTTCTAATGGGGCATTTAAAAGATTCATTCCATTAGGTTGAACTTTGTCTTCCCGTGCTTTGCTGATTTGCTCTGTGGGGTATGATACACTCATGGATCGGCTCTGTGGGACATAAATGGCATTATATAACATGAGCTGAGACGACTGCATCTCTTTATTCTTCCTTCATCATCTGAATAATTCATTCCAGGAGGCAAGTGTGTATTTGGCATTTATTTACTATGCACCGGTAACATAAACTTGAGTAAAGTAGGTGCAAATTCACGCACAGAGGAAACTATCTTTTAAATGTCACACGCTTACTAAACCATGGGATTTTGGTGTCTACTCTTTACCTTTGGCCTTCTCTTTCCATTATAAATAGGCTACCTCGGCTATCTCACAGATTAATGAAATACTGCTCAACCTAGTTCCACCCATGTAAACTGGAAAGGAGGGCAGCCGTTGGGGACAGGGCAACGAGCTAGGTGTGATCTGTAGAGGCCAGCAGTGAGCTTGAGAACCAGCAGATTCAGCCTCAAAATGTCCAGGCAGGAGTAAGCAAAAGACAACTGTGTGGGAAGAGGCAGGTCACCAGAGGATGGACAGGTGGAAAGCGGAGAAAGATCCAGCTTAATAGGCCCAGCATAACAAGTGAGCTGGCCTTCCTGGGCTTTGCGTCTAGGACTACAATACAGATCTCAAATGTGAAGTCTGGGATCTCTCTGGGTGGAGTGAGAGGGCTCAGGGAGAAAGACAAGCAGAAGAGAGAAGGAACTGCACCTCTGGGTACCACTGTCGAGCAGCTGTATGAGCCTGACCCAGTACTGAGTGCATTCCTGCTATGGCAGTCCTAACGAGGCTAGCAAGGGACTCTGTCATTCTTTTCCTTGTGGTCTCGGCTGGATCTCCCTTTTCTGTCCCCCTTGGAAGTGAGTCTTAGTCATAAAGCTTATTGACTTATTTCTTTGGTCAATAAGCAGCAGTCATAAGGATGGCTCACCTCTGGATGCAAGCACTGAAAGCTATCACTTGAGCCACCAACTTCCTTTAAACTGCCGTATGCAAGCAGGCTTCTAGATGGCCCTTTCCTTAGGTAGGCCACCTAAGAGGAGGGTCCCCCTCCCCACCAACCCACACAGATGAGGATCATGAGGGGAAAATCCGCTTCTAGGGGTTGGGTGCCTGACATTTGGGGGCAGTTTGCCCCTGCAGTATAGGCATGGATCGCCTCATTTTATCATCACAGCCAACCTCCTGTTCTTTAAAGAGGAACTGGGACTGTGCCCTTGGGTGACTGTGGGCCCTTTACCTAAGGTCACAAAGTTAATAAGAAACAGAATCAAAGTCTAAATGCAGGTCTAACCAGAACCCCTACTTTTAGCCACATGTTAGGAAAAGCCAACCAAACCCACAGGAAGGAAAAGAAGACACCCTGATCCCCATAAATGGCACTAGGAAAACTTCATACTTGCAAGTGGCATAAAACCAGGCAACCAAGCAGCTTAGCCCCTGCATCTCTACCTGTGCCTAAAAGATTAAAAATAAAAAGTTCAGAAAGAACATATAGTCCAAAATACAACCTATTGACTCATTCTGTTCTCTGAGATGTCAAATTCTGTCATCCTCAAAGTGACCCATAGGAGATGGAGATCAGGGGGCACAGGGGCAGCACTGTGCCCATCTTGATTTTTATTTTTGCTACAAGATAAGTCTTAGCTTTTACATTATATCTAATGTAACTACTGGATTCTACAAAGAATAAGACATTCATTACTTCCTAAGCATAAGGCCTCCGAAAGTCATAGGCATTATGACCAGAGGGAGAAGGAAAAGATTCTAAGAACCAAGAGCAACATTTGTAGCTAATAAGACAACATTTTGGCCAAGGAGATGGCTCAGTAGAAAAAGCGCTTCCCTGGCAAGCGTAAGGGCCTGAGTTCAATCCCCAGTTCTGAAAAAAAAAGAGAAAAAAAAAAAGACAATATTTTGAGTGTAGCCAGCAATTTTACTTTTTCCTAAAATATGCAAGTAAGTTCAGGGTCTAAAATTCCAGGAACAGAACACAATTTCCTTGTACCTTCTCGTCATAATTTAGAAATGGAAGAATCTTTTACATACATTAATTTCTTAAAAGCAGTTCATCTTGAGCATCAACCAACCAATGATAGAAACAGTATTTAAAGATCTCCTGGAAGTATTCCAGTCCCCAACCAGTTCATGTCCCTTTCCTCCTAGCCTACCAGAGGATCCATCCAATAGCCTTTAAACTGGAAAAAAAAAAAAAAAGCAGTGATAAATTATTCTCACTTTTAGCAAAGTGGGTGGAAATATATTCTTTAGCTGTCACTTTACATCTTGTTATTGACTTTCACATTAAGCCACATTGCTGAAGTCTGGATACAATCCACATACTGCCACATTTCATCTCAGGGAATCCCGTTACTGTGATGACTAAATATGTGTGTCATTTGAAGCCATAATTTATTTATCCCCTTAATACTTAGATTAGCTTTTAAAGCACCAGCAAAATAACTGAGTAGGCTGTTTTCAAGCATATGATCTCCATCATAATTAATTCATTCTTCTAAACCTCATAAAAAATGGTGGTCATTCACTTGATTAGATAGATCAGAAAGCTGTTTTTTAAGCCATCATACATCACCTTTGAGTTTCTATGACTCACTCCTCTTCCCTGCAAAATCAAACCAGAAAGCACCATATAGGTTCAGAATATTGTCTGTAATGAAGTTAATGTGATATTTTTATGCCTTGTGTAGTAGCCATATAACCAGGATACATTTATTATAGCTCTTTAAATCTTGAGTCTTGAGTTAGAAATAAACATCAGCATGAAACAGGACATATTATAAATACTGAAAACTTGAATTCAAATGAAATCCATGTCTTCATCTGACTTTATTATAGCAGTTTCACAAATTCATAAATTCATAAAAAATGTGGGTATTTCAAAGGGACAACAGAATCTAACAAAATTCATTTGAAGCAAAGCCCAATCTCTAATTAAAAGAAGAAAAACATCAGAATACACATCTCTCAAGAACTGTAGTTAAAGCTAAACAACTGACATGCTGATTTAAATAACAAATAAGCTGACTGACTTTTTAAAATGAATGCAGTGCTCTCTTTTGAAGCATCTGAGTGAAGAAGAAAGCACAGCTGCACACATGTTTCCAAACAATCAGCTCTTCCCTTGCATGGTCCCTAATTCCTCGGGGAGTCCAGCATCCTATCCTCAGGTAGAAAGGTGACACTGCCCTGGCCACAGGGTAAACCTGCTTACTTTCAATGAAAAGCTAAAAGTGAAAAAGCAGTGAAAGAAGCTGCATGCAGCCCCTGTGCCTCACAAAGCCACAGTCACAGAAAGCTGCACTATTGATTTTCACTAAGACAATAAAGGAAACAGATCAGCTAAAAGCACAAGCTGCAAATGAACACACGTTTGGGGCAGAGCTGAAATGAAAATGTGTTCTATCACATTGCAAGGCTGGACCACTTTTCTCTGGCACTGAAATCAACAGCATCAAGAACCAAATCACATGCAGATGCTACCCCTACCTTAAGCTCAAAATATCATGGGTCCCTTAGTGAAACATGCACTTTAAATCAGTGTTGCTCTTGCCTTTCAGACAAACAACTTGCCGTCCTGGAAATTCCTTCAGCTACTTCCTTACACAATCGAAAGAATCTGAGGCATCCTTTTGGCATCAGCAAAAGACTCTCTAGACACAGGACAGAGCCTGTTACTAACTCAGAGCTTTGGAATTAGTCATTTCGATGACTTAATCAGAACTTCAGATCTGGGCCAGAGACCCTCTCAGACTGGAATAGAGAAACACCTCTTTGCATGCCGCTCAGGAAGCCTGGTATTGCAATGCCCAAGAAAAGCAGTGTTCAGGCTGGCGCAGCAGCTGGAAACGTGTGAGTTCCAGCAGTTTCTGGTTTTATCTTTCTATCATTATTAGTATTGTGACCCAAATACAAGGAAACCTCCACATTCCATTAACGGACTCAATTTGGATTCTGCAGCTCCACGGGAAGAAACAGCAGCTCTCCTCACCTAGCAGGGCTGCGCTCTTGAGATAATTCTTTTAGTTTCATTTTAACATTTGGCTTCAGAAGATGCTGATAGGTCAGATTTGCAACTGTGGATGCACAAAACGCTTTATTAGAAGGGTTTTTTTTTTTCCTTTCAGAATGGCCAGCCTTCGGGGCTTGACCCCAGAGCTAACAACACTTTGCACAACTCCCAGCACGCCCTGGGAATGGGGATCCTCACCCTTAAGAGTGGCGAGCTCCCGGGTAGCCGGGTGATTCGCTCCCTCGTTACTTCCCTTTCTCCTTGCAATTCGCTAATCTCTCCCTAGTTGGGCTCAAGCACAGATTGCCAAGGGTTCATCCCAGCGGACACGCTGCAGAAAACTAATGGCTTGTGCGCAAAGCCAAGCTGCGTCGCTAGCAACACAACTTCACAGTTCCCTTAATTTGTAGTTTCTGGACTGAGTGAAATAGCTCCAAAGACCCAAGTAAACGCCCCTCTACAACCCCTTGCGGTGCAACGCCACGTCCCTGGGAGCCACGATTGTGTCATTTGTACTTTGAGCCCACCTCGCAGATCCCCTAAGAACAGAGTGCAAACGAACCCCACGGCGAGAAGCCGCCAGGGAGGTCTAAGTGGACAGGGGTCCGCGGCCCCTGAAGGAGAACCTCCCGGCACCTTCCAGCATCAAGTCGGAAGGCAACAAAGTGCAGAAGGCGGAGCCCCTGGGCCGGGAAGGATGCGCGCGCCCTCCAGCCACGGCGGGCCACCTGCCCAGGTCCGCCCCGCGCCCCGCGCCCCGCGCCCGGCCACCCGCGGGAAGCGCTACGGGAAGCAGGTGCCGGCCGCGGCCGCGGAGCGAGCCGTCCTTACATGCTCTAGCTTGTCTTTCCTCCGGAGCCAGACGCTGGCGCTGTAGTCCTGCTGCTTGACGCTGCTGTAGAAGTTCGCGCCCACTCGGGTCAGGCTCGGGGACGGCTCCTTGGGGCGGCTTTTGAGCTTCATCTGCTCGAAGCCCTCGTGGGGGGAGGCCGAGAGCCACTCGTGCTGCCGGATCTCCATCCTGACATGACCAGGCGGCGGCCGGAGCGCCGAGGGCTCGGGATGGGGGCCGGGCGCGCCAGGGGACGAGGCCCAGCCGGGGGCGGAGCCGGAGTCGGAGCCCGAGCCCGGGCAGGAGAGGAGTGAGCGGCGGGGGCGCTCGGGGAGCCGGACGCCGGCGGG